CACCTCGGATTCAGGCATAGCTGTAACTGGTTTAAACGGTCCTATCAGATACATCTAGGATTCAGGCATAGTTGTAACTGGTTTAAACGGTCCTATCAGATACCCCTAGGATTCAGGCATAGCTGTAACTGGTTTAAACGGTCCTATCAGATACATCTAGGATCCAGGCATAGTTGTAACTGGTTTAAACTGTTCTATCAGATACCCCTAGGATTCAGGCATAGCTGTAACTGGTTTAAACGGTCCTATCAGATACATCTAGGATTCAGGCATAGTTGTAACTGGTTTAAACGGTCCTATCAGATACCTCTAGGATCCAGGCATAGCTGTAACTGGTTTAAACTGTTCTATCAGATACCCCTAGGATTCAGGCATAGCTGTAACTGGTTTAAACGGTCCTATCAGATGCCCCTAGGATTCAGGCATAATTGTAACTGGTTTAAACGGTCCTATCAGATACCCCTAGGATCCAGGCATAGTTGTAACTGGTTTAAACGGTTTTATCAGATACCTTTAGAATCCAGGCATAGTTTTAACTGGTTTAAACGGTTTTATCAGATGCTCCTTTAGGATTCAGGCATAGTTGTAACTAGTTTAAACGGTCCTATCAAATACCCCTAAGATTCAGGAATAGTCGTAACTGGTCATAATCGCGAGCTCCTAACTAGAGAGAAGTCAGCTAACCAGCAGCATCCGCCACCATAATTGCTTGTCCGGGTCTTTTAAACGAAAATGAGATTGACTGCTACTTTTATAACACGCCAACAGCTGAAAGTACGGAGTGTAATCAATGGCATCGCCCTCATAGAAGTGTCCCCCCTCCCTCCATAATATTGCCCTTTTAACAATATTTTCTCCTAACGCTCTATACAAAATATTGATGGTTAAAGAAAGCTTATTAGATATTAAATACATTAAATCTATGAATCGCTCTACTGTTTACTACATTTTGAGAGTTAATATGAGTAAACGATTCTACGATTTTAGTAAATGTTTAATCTTATCTTATCAGTTCTTTTACTTATTCATTATTATTGTTCATATGTCTCAGAATGGTGTTAACAAAAATAGTTAGCATGTTTGAAGATCAGGGAGATAAACTTCTACACTGACTCGAAGAAATAACCTAAAAATCAAACCACTTTTCAGGTCATGCAACTTCTACACTGACTCGAAGAAATAACCTAAAATCAAACCACTTTTCAGGTCATGCAACTTCTACACTGACTCGAAGAAATAACCTAAAATCAAACCACTTTTCAGGTCATGCAACTTTTACACTGACTCGAAGAAGTAACCTAAAAATTAAACCACTTTTCAGGTCATGCAACTTTTACACTGACTCGAAGAAATAACCTAAAAATCAAACCACTTTTCAGGTCATGCAACTTCTACACTGACTCGAAGAAATAACCTAAAAATCAAACCACTTTTCAGGTCATGCCGATATCCTGGAATATTTGATTGACCGTTTTAGAAACAGCCTAATCATCGACCAACGTAATATGTGTGGAATGACAGCACTTATGAAAGCCGCTCTTCAAGGACGAATTCGTTGTGTTAACTTGCTTCTTGAGTCAGGTAAGCTTTTGTCTTATCTATTAACACTGTGTATTTTATAACGGTACTTAACTTATTTAAATGTTACAGTCAGAACTCCTTACTCACACATTTTCTTTGTTGTTGTTGTATTTTCGAATATTTTTTTATCTTTATTATAGCCCCAACGAACACGGGTCCGAAGAAAAGATTATTGATTAATCACAGTGAAAATTCCGTAAGATCTCAGATTTTGACTTTCAAAACCCACCAAAGCTTCAACGTTTCGCTTGGCGAATATTCTTCCGTCTATTTTTTAATCATCATCAGTGAGATATTTTAGTTAACGGGGTTTCATTGAAAAGGATGACATACCGTCGCCATCTTGTAGTATGACGTAGATGTTAATAAGACAACCTCAAAACATTTCCGCTTCTAAGTAGAGTCACGACTGGGTGACTGCTTTTGGAATATAGTCCTAAATCTAAGACTCTGATTAGTGTTAAAAACGACAATAAGAGCTAGCAGCGACACCATATGAATAGCGCGTGCCTCGCTCTTTGAAATACATGTAGTACATAGCAGTATTGATATTCTGTAGTATCGATACGATAGGAGTGGCTAAACCTTACAGTTCTTTCTTGTTCTTCCATCGATTGTGACGTATGTGGATTCCCTGCTTGTAGAATACTGCTCTGCTCTGCAGTACAGTTTCTATTCTGAGATCAGTACTTCCTATCTTCTGTATATAGTAGAATAAAAAGAATCACGAGAAACACAAAAACTCTCATTCAACGAGACACTAACTCTGGTTTATACCTTTAGCCCAATAAAAATCTGCTGTTTTAACTGTTTTTTAAGAGCGTGTGTCAATATTTGGAATGAGAAGAAAACAAATGACGTAGGCAGGGGAAAATGTTAGTTTCAGGAACTATATTTCAGTCAATCTAACAATACCTCCTCCAATGTTATCACGAATTTGTTGACATTACTATACAGCGGGTTGTTTCGGTGCCGTCTCATAAATCGTTATCATGCAAGGAGTTTGGAAAATATGTTCGATAAAAAAAAAAAGATAAAACGTGATTAATGAACGAAAATTCCCCTGGTCCAATTTCCGAAAGCACTCTAGCTATGACATTTCTTCATGTATAATGAAACGTTCCCTTAAAAAGGGTTAGAAACAGTTGAGAGAATTTGAAAGTTTAGATGTCAAATGTTAAGGACGTTTGAAGATACGATTTTCTTATTATGATATTGCTGTTTAAAATATTTTTGTTTGTTGCCATAGAAACTTACAAACCAAATTTATATCTGAATGTTGGTAAAAGATGCCCGGATGAGGCCCATTCTATTTGGCATACAAATTACAAGCCCAATTTATATATGAATGTTGGTAAAAAATGCCCGGATGAGGCCCATTTTATTTGGCATAGAAACCTACAAACCCAATTTATGTATGAATGTTGGTAAAAGATGCCCGGATGAGGCCCATTGGCTAGCGTGCTCCGGAGATAAAGGCCCAAGGTTTCAGCTTGAAGTGTGGAGCGTTAAAATTGTGAGAGTCAGTCTCGCTATTCGGTTAAGGGCCCGGCATGGCCACGTGGTTAGGGCGCTAAACTCGTAATCTGCGGGTCGCGGGTTCGAATCCCTGTCCTCTCACCAAACATTCTCCCCCTTTCAGCCGTGGGGGCGTTATAATGTGACGGCCAATCCCACTATTCGTTGGTAAAAGAGTAGCCCAAGAGTTGACGGTGGATAATAATGACTAGCTGCCTTCCCTCTAGTTTTACACTGCTAAATTAGGGACGGCTAGCGCAGATAGCCCGCGTGTAGCTTTGTTTGCACGAAATTCAAACAAACAAACTATCCGGTTAAGAGTAGTCACAAACCAACCCAAACCTAAACAAACATGTATATGTAATTGTTGTTGTTGTTGTTGTTATTACAGGAGCAAATCCTCACTTAAGGGATCCAGCTAGGAAGTTATCCTCATTGGAATGGGCTAAACTCTGTGGTCGAGAAGCATGTGCGGAAAGCATCGTAAAGTTCACGAAGACTAATTCTAAAAATAAATTTTCTTCCCTTCAGCGAAAACAGCCTAGTTTACGGAGAAAGTGGCCTAGTGATCCCGATCTTCGACATGCATCCTTTCTAAACACTGTGCTAAGCGTTGAAGCAGACAGCGGCAATTGGTTCAAACAAAAACTAAGAAACCCTTTCAGGTACGGTGAAAACAGAGCGCGCCGAAATTCCGATTTCAGTGTTTTTAACAACATAACAGCCTCAGCAATGTTGTGCGCATCGTCGGCTATTCTCCAGAATTCTGAATCAGAATTACTCAGTAAAAAGAACAAATCCAGAAGAGCTAGTGGAAAGCGAAAAATTTTCATTCCAAAGGTCGAAGTTGCTCAAGACAGCGTTTGCCCACCAACCACTGACTTTTTTCCAACTGGTACAGCACCTTGTTTTAAAAACACATCACCGCCACTACATGTGCCACCACCTGTTCTAATTTCCAGAAAAAGTAGTATTTTCGTGGTTTCGGAGGTGCTCATATTCACATGTAAGGCTTGTTTGTTTGTTGAATTTCGTGCAAAGCTATTCGAGGGGCATTTGCGCTAATTTTTCCTAATTTAGAAGCGATAGACTAGAGAAAGTAGGTAGACTTGGGCTACTTTTTACCAACAAATAATGGGATTGCCTGCCACTTTATAATGTCCTCACAGCTGAGAGGACGAGCACGTTCGATGATGTTATGGCACTGCACGTATGTATATATTTATGTGACGTCAAATGATACATCGAGGCCTGTTTTGAAATCCACTTTTAAACATTCTTTTCTAAGTAAAACGCATATTTGCTATAAATGTTTTGTAAAAGTTCAAATTTGACAACTTTTCCAGTGTCACTTTAGATGAAATCCCCCAGGGTCGGACAACGGTAAGTTTACAGAATTACAACGCTAAAATCCGGGGTTCGATTCCCTCCTCGGTGGACAACGCAGATAACCTAAAGTGGCTTTGCTCTAAAATAACCAATCAAACAAACAGCTTCATATAAGTATTATTAATAGATGGCTGATGAAATATTTAAGTATTTACAAAAGGGAGAGCCGCCAAATGAAAAATTGTAAAAAATTTCTGACAACTTTTACCCCAACAAATGTATGAATTAGTTATCGTTTATTCATCACAAAAACTATGACATCCAACAAAAAAATCTGTAACATCAACGTTTAGAAAACGATGTTTGATGTATCCCTACAAATTTTCATCAAAATAAAGTTATAAATAAATTATAAATCAATATTTTAGTTCTAATTGTCGATTTTTTTAGCCTCCTGTTGGAATTTTATTCAGATTGTGGAAATAAAGAAAAAACTTGTCAATAGACGATGCAATGAATTATTACAATTTTAGGCTTAGATTGTTAAGAGTTTCGTTTGAAAATTCCCTTCTTAGTGTTAAAAGTGGGGGGCAGGACCCGTTGCCTCTCCACCCCACGTCTCTGTTGCTCATGCTCGTAATACTTTCACACCTGTAATATACATAACTCCATTGAACAGAAACCCTATCGAACATGGAAACTACAAAGCAACCGGGTCTGTTTCAACTCAGTTTTGTGCTTGTGTTTTACTGGATATTGATATCATCAATGTCAACTCTATGTCAGGAGTGCTCATTTTATTACACCAGGGCACTGTAAAAAAATTAAATAAAAGTACAACATTTACGAATTTCATGTCCCCTCCTTTTTTCTTTACTTAGTTCAATACAAAACGTTATTGTTGTTTCATTAAAGCTACGGTCGTTTTTCATATCGACTTCGATAATGATGTTTCCAATGTATATTAAAGAAATGTAATATTAAAAATCTATAATTCATTATTATCTGTTTACTGTATTACTACATATTTTAAGACTGTTTTTGTCACACGTAGATATTTAGCGCCCTCTTTCTCAAATTACATGATTTAATAATATAATATTTAATGTCGATTACTTTATTTCTTTTAACCGATCATTACCACCAATTAACCCTAGAATTGTTTTTGTCATGTAACAATTTCATTGGAATAAAAACTTGCTGCAGACACAATTCATGTGTTTAATTTCATGTTAATTTTAAACATTGTAATCTCCAATATCATGCAAAATCGACAACGTTCCGACCTTCCACCAAGCGTTACCTCGTTGCTAAGCAACCAATAGAAGGGCACTAAAGGACGGTAGTATTCAAATAAATCATAATATCATTTCGTAAACTGGTATTTCTAAATTGTTAATCCTACATTTTGGAACAGAAATTATACAATTCTCGTTTATCTAAGTTAAGTCGTAATTGTTTCTTTTATTAAGTTTTTTCAAATATAGTTTTATCATACTTTCAGCTGTTTTTTTTTTTTACCTGCTATACATTTTATTAAGTTGTTCAGTTAAAAACAAGCGAAAAGTGTAAGCTTTATGAAAGAAACTTCTCAAAACACCAACGATATGTTTGTTTACTTGTTATGGCATAAACCGCAATCCGTACTTTGAAACCGTGAGCGTGTTATAAGAGAAACAGTCAGACAGGAGTATCGCGAGAGATGGTAGTGAATACTGTTGACTAGAGGTGGCTTTAATCTATGAGCTCAGAATTAGGGTCGACTATACACGGATAACGCGGTGTACTTTGCACGAATGTCTGAAAAACAAGATCTCGTTTTGAGGTTTTGCCTGATGCTACACAAGGAGTTATCTACCCCGTATCTCCGCGTGGGTCGAAAAAGGTATAAAACAAAACATTCACAAATGCTTTCAAAATAGAATTCGACCTAAAGCTAGATGATAATATTGTTTCATTACTTTAGGTTGATATATAGAAAGGTTTAAAAATTAAGAAGCTTACGGCCTATTAAATAAAAAATAACAGTTTTTGTATTACTAAGCACAAAACTACACTGTCTGTGCTGAGTCCATCACGGATATCGAAACATGGATTTTATCGTTATAAATCTTCAGTCTTACCCTGTACCACTAGGGGACGACGAAAAAATAAGAGAGACATTTGAGATTGACGAACAAAAAACATCTTTTTTCTCGAAAGACGTGTTTTTTATTGAGTCAAAATAAACTATTGAAGATTATAGAATATATCTTCAAGCTCTGTCTGTCTGTCTGTCACACCGAAAACTAACAGTATGACGACACATTGGTATTAACACTGATTTAAACCAATTATAAAGACTTTCGTAAAAAAAAGGAATTCGAAAGATACAGAGAAAGAAAGAAAGATGTGCAAATGTGATGTAACGAAATGCGTTGTATAAACACACAAATGTGATGAAACGAAATGCGTTGTATAAACACACAAATGTGATGAAACGAAATGCGTTGTATAAACACACAAATGTGGTGTAACGAAATGCGTTGTATAAACACACAAATGTGATGTAACGAAATGCGTTGTATAAACACACAAATATGATGTAACGAAATGCGTTGTATAAACACACAAATGTGATGTAACGAAATGCGTTGTATAAACACACAAATGTGATGTAACGAAATGCGTTGTATAAACACACAAATGTGATGTAACGAAATGCGTTGTATAAACACACAGATGTGATGAAACGAACTGCGTTGTATAAACACACACACGTGATGTAGCGAAATGCGTTGTATAAACACACAAACGTGATGTAACGAAATGCGATGTATAAACACACAAATGTGATGTAACGAAATGCGTTGTATAAACACACAAATGTGATGTAACGAAATGCGATGTATAAACACACAAATGTGAT